TCACGAACAAGTCGTATCGCATACACGTTGAGCCATCCAGAACGGACTTGACAATGGGAAACCCCCCTCATACCAGTTCCTTGGGTATGGAGCCATGTCGGTCAAGTATAGCGTGTCCAAGTCACCAATCCTGGTCGCCAATCCTTTCAGACGATAGTCAAGCTTGGAACAGAGTGGCAGAACTTGACGGCATGTCTACCATCACTTGTACTTATTATTCCATTTTTAGTTTTTGGCATGATTAGTATATAGTGATCAGTTATGATCACTATATATACTTGGTCAACATAGGCCTTATTGCCTCCTCTCCCAGGCCTAAGCTCCAGGAGTGTGAAAATGGCCAGGCTATATATCAGTCACTGTTAGGCTATGTTCATTTTACATGTTTTTCAGAAATATCTGTATCATATTTTGTAACTGTATATGTAGTATTTGATCGTGATGAAAATGGGAAGCTGCTAACTGGGGTTACGAATTTCTTTACTTTCACGCTATGACCTGACAAGTCCCGCATGCATGATTTTGGACTCATCTATTTGAACTGATGCTCTATTTACCCTATTTTTGTCTTAAGATGTGTTTTGCCAGCTGGCTTAATCTGAAAGTGTATCAGGGGTTTGATCTTCGTATGCGAAGATAACTGGTTTGATTGATGAATTCCTCTGTCTTGGCTATCTTCTTTAGATTTTGGTCTTAGATTGAGTATTCAAGTTATTTATTTGCAAGTTGTGTGTGTTGGCTCAAAATGTGTCAGGGATTGATCATGGCGGGAGAAAATTACTAGATTTGTCTTGGACATCATCAACCAGTTTGATTGACAAATTGCTCCATGGTCCCGCTAACTATGTGAATATAGGTTTTCCGGAATTGATTGCTTGAGATCTTTGTTTCCAACTTGTGTACATCTGCGCTAAGATGTATTATGGAATTTATCTCAGATGCAAGGAAAAAATAATGGATTGTCGTTTCAGTATAACCTGGTTTTATTGGTTATCTTCATACTTTTGGTCGCAGTTTCAAAGAGTTAATGGATGATTTCTCTACTGATATATAAATTAGGTTGAGGATGTGATATTTGGTCGGTTGAATATGATGATGGGATCCTACATCGGCAGCAAATTTTGATCTGTCTGGGTGAACTGTCTTTTTATGACATCAATCTTTTTCATGTCCAAGACTCCAAGGCCAAGCTATTCCCGGAACCATTGCTCTGGCTTTCTGGGTTATATTATTTGTATTTGTGGCTTAATTCATTTATTAATAATTGTTTTGTTCACTTTGCTTGGCTCTTTCATTTATACATATCTTAGACTTGGTTTCTCACATGGAACTAGTTGATGCATCTTCCTGTAGGTCACCATCCGGACTGCCCACTGTGTTCCATCTAAATGTCTTCTGTTTCCATCTTGGCAAAAAGTACCTGTTCAATTTTCAACTTTGTATATCCCTTTTTGCTTCTGCTGAGACTGTGTATCCACAGCTCTCAGTCTATAAATTCCATACCCTTCATGCAGTAGTATCTGTTATGTTTTTTTTTTTTTGCGGTATTGTGCGATTCACTAGGTTTTGGAATGCATTGCTGTTGGTAGAATGGAAAGGATTAATTTGATGCATTTTGGTTCATATCATAGTAATCACCCTGGTATTCATCCAAAATCTCTTCATGGGATTATTGGTTCAGATGATTTTTGGTGTCTTATAAGCAATTGAGCTAAAATGATCGACTTTTTGGGAACTCTTCAGCATCATTCGTTGGAGGTTCTTGCTTCCATTTACTCATTATATCCTTGATCTGTTCAATAAGTTTTGAATCAAGGATCTGCTTTGACGCATTATTTGGGATTTTGTTGTGCTATTCTTGATCTCAGAAACCTCAACCTTTTGTGGATATCAGATGTTGCAAAGGAGCTGTGGATTCAAGCCATTCTTCATGTCTGAGCTGTGACCTTGTGCTAATCTACTGCTTTTTTTGGATACTCCGGATTGAACTATTCTGGATTTAGAAATTTCACTTGCTTTGCTTGCACGGATCTTTGGTAATTTCTCTCTTGGTTTGGGTGATGTCAAACTTTAATCGACCTTGACCCAATTTTGTGTTCATTAATATCTCATATTCATATCGCTTCCATGTTTTACTCTTTTTTTTTCCTGTTGGTGCATCTGTGACAGTCTGTATGAGCATAACAACATGTTCTTTAGTCTAAACAAGTTCAACGAAATAGATCTGCAGTGGTTTGCGTAACTTCAATTTTTTGTGGAAACATGAACATCTGAGGTCTGTCCATTATAGTTAATATTGTTACTACCTTATGAATATCTAGTTGAAGGACAGACTAGTTTGATTTATATAAAGTAGATTGTCTTGCTGCATTATAACTGCACTAAACACAGAGATCTGTCAACAGGAATTTCTGTTCGGTGCCTTGACCTCGTCTCTACATACATAAATTATGCACATACATATATTTGTACGAAGTATATACCACTGATGCATCATCTTGTCTACCTCTTAACACACAAGTGCATACATTTGACCAACAGTATCTAACACACAGCAAAACTCATATCACGCTCAATAGCATTATTTCATTATTCATATGTTTGTCAATGCAGTTTCAATATTCTGGGTTTCACTAAGCTTGGGGTTGCTCTATCATGACCAGAGTGATTTGATTGGTCTGGTGAAAGGCATGAAACTTTGTTTGGTTATTTTCTATTTTCCTATTTGATTTCTGGAATGGACTGGACCAGTTATTCAACGATATCCATCCCCTCATATCTTAGGTTGTTAATGTGCCTCAGACTGAAGATGTGATCAGGTGATGGATTTGTTTGACTGGTGGGTGGTTTGTTGCTTGTAGAAAAAGTTTGTTTCCTGACGTCTGATTTTTGTGTCTAGCAGATTTATCTTTATGTCTGCTGTGGAGTCTTTCCAGATAACAGATACGTTGGTTGGAATAAAATTTACGGGGGTGCTTGCTATAATTGTATTGGTAAGTTATCCAATTGTATTGCTATACAGTTACCAGACACAAACAAAAACGCTAACTGTACGTGAGGCTTTTTGCTTTTACTTGGTGTAGTTGAGGTGTAGCAGTTGATGAGAGTTCCTGTAGGAGCTGACAAAAGTTGTATATGGTGCTGGAATTGGTTGTGCTGAACTGACCGGTGTCTAGATGCAGCAATAAGCGGCCTATGTGAGAAATGGAGACCACTGTTCTTTGAACTTTGCCTTTTCTTGAAAGAGAGGATGGCGTAATAGTGTAAAATGCGTCTGTTATCTAAGCATGTCACTTACTTTATCTGATGAGATGTAAAAACTTTGAGCTCATGGGGTTGTAAAGTTACTTCGAACACAGATTGCTTTAGGGTGGTCGAAGAAGCACATGAACTACACTACACTAGTAGCATTGTGATTATAGGGACGGTTTGGTTCTTAAATCTTGAAAAACGAGTTACATTTAGTTGATTTGTTCATGTATAATGTAATGATTTAAACCATAGTTTAATCCTTCTTTAATCGAGCTCATCTTTTGGTTAATTAATTCCTTGATGTGTAATATAATTTCGACCTGATTTTTGTACGAGAATTATTTGGACCATAACAATATACATCAAAACAATGGTTGTAAAAACTAGAATTCCCCTCTAAACTTGGGTGATAAACCATATACGCGTTCAAATAAATATAAGTTAATTTTTTTTATATGTAACACTTCTCAAATTAGTTAATTGATTGATTATTAATTATATTATTATTACTCCCTCCATCCCAAAAATAACTTCCCACTTTCCTTCAATGGATGTCTCAAAATTAACTTCACACTTCAATACTTTCCTTATTTGGAAAATTATCTACATCAAAAAAGTGATAAACAATGCTAATCAGTGTTTAAACAATGCCAAACAGTGTTTAAACAGTGCAAACAATGCACTCTACAGTAAAGTCAAATTTATTTTCTAAAAGTGTGTGAAAGTCAAACCGGGAGGTTGTTTTCAGGACGGAGGGAGTATTTATTAGTAAATGTAGTTCGAATGTAGTTCCTATTTTCAATAAATGCACTTGAAGTTTGAATAAGTAGCAAAATGGGGGGGATTTGGTTGACCCGGCCCGACTCGGCGGGTAGCCTGACCCGTGACCCGGGCGGGTGACCCGGCCCGGACCGGCACCGGCCTAAGGGCGGGCCGGTCCCGGACCCACCATTTTTGAACCGGCGGCCCGGTCGAGCCCGGGCCCGAACCAGCACGAATCCAGCCCTGGGTGGGACTGCCTAACTCAGCAGGGAATCAACTAACAAGCAGATTGACAGGATTATAGAAAACATAAGGATAAAACAAACCCTAGCCTTTTTCTCTCCTTTTGAGATCCAATTTGAAGACAGTTGTTTCATAGAATATCGGAGATTCTATCGAGCTATTTTAGTTGAAACTACGAGAAAAAATTATGGAATTATAGAAAAGTAAAACCAGTGGCACAACCAGAAAACCAACCCAGATGGTCAAACTAAATACAGAATAAAAAGGGTGGGCCTGTGTAACTTGGATAAATGATAACTTAAATAAGATTGATAGATATAAATTTGATATATTTGTCATAAAGTTCATGTAATGAGTGAATTAGAAGTTTTTTTAGTTTGACTGTTAGACATTTAGAGTTTAGATTGTGCTGATTTTTCAGGAGTCATACATTTTTACTCGAATGAGTTACGAGAGTCATAATATATCAAATCGAAGATATTCAGTACTCCATATTTCCAAATTTTCAAGGGGTCGGCTGACCACCCGGTCCACCCTACTCTCCCTTGGCTCCGCCCCCGAGTAAAACCACTTCTTAAATTGATCTTTCAATATCACATGTATAAGTATTATTAAAGAATTACTGAACTATATGTAGTGTAATTGTGGGTAAAATACAAATACATAGAGACTAACAACATGAAAGACCCTGGCAGCTACCCAATTATATAAACACTTACTGCTTCCACATTTTAAGGATCAAACCGACTCTCTCTCTGGATATATATCTCGGCGAAAATGATCCTTGAGATCGCAAATAATAAGAATAAGAACCCCTGGCTGGTAGGAAGTGGTGATATGAAGCCACGGCTGAAATGGACTCCAGAACTTCACCATAGATTTGTTGATGCAGTATCTCAGCTTGGAGGTGCAAAACAAAGGCTCACTTAGTTCATCATGGATCATAATATTGGTGACAATATCATGCACGTGCAGAGGCTACACCGAATTCATTGATGAGAAAAATGAACATTCAGGGGATTACTCTTTACCACCTGAAGAGCCATTTGCAGGTATTTTTTCCATTGTCACCTTAAGATCAACTTTTGATTATCTGTCTATAGTTTGTGGTGTGAAGTATGAATTCATGAATGCTAGCTCCATGCTGCAGAAATTTCGACTTGGGAAAGGCCAGAATCCTCAGCCACACCAAGATAGCAAGCAAGAAGGTACTAGCATGTGCTTTTTTTGTTGCTGCTACTTCCCACCCAACTAGTATAGAGTCACTCACAGCTCACTGGCCTTAATTCCAAGAAATTAGCTTATAGTGTTAATTAAGTTAAGAGCTAATGCCAAATGTACTACCTCGACTATACCTTTTTGCTTAATCTGGCCCTCAGCAATTTATTTTATTAAACTATGGATCCAAATATCCAATTTTGCCCTCATTCATATCTAGTTCTAAATGAGAAGAGTATTTCGGTATGTTCACTGAATTTAGTCCCGATTCCCGACTCAATTGGCCTCAACTATGTAAGTATAACCAAACTTAATCCTCATTGTATGAAAGTATCCTTCTCAATTAGATCAAAACACGGATGTAGATAAAGTTGAGTCTAAATTTCATGTCGAGAACCAAATTAAGCCTAAAAGATAAGTACCAAATTTGGCAATATTGCATAGGCTAGGAACCAAATCAGGTATTAACACACCACTTTTTCCCACTTACAAAATGACACAGCAAAACTGAGGACTTTGGTGCTTGCAGATTACATAGAACATCAGAGTCAATCACCTGCAGACAACAGTGATGAAGCCCAGGGTCAGATGAATGAGCAATGGCCTATAAACAGCTTCTTAGTCAGTGGGAATTGGGTAATGGAGTGTTTTGCAGGGGTAGTACATTTCTCTTGATATGTATTTGAGATATTATAGAAGTTGAAGAAATAACATAATATGTGATACCAAGCCCTTATTAATTTTTTAGTACCAAGAAATAACAGTACTTTAATCGTCCTCCTTTATTAATTTTTTAGTAACATTTTATATATACCAAGCCCTCCAAAGCCCCAAACCCCTTTACCTAAAATACCCTTCATAATTTTATATTAGAATGGATTTGAAATCTAGTCTACTAACACCTATATGGATAAAATTTCTGCTCTGATAATCTATAAGCACCGAAACAGCTCAGGCTTTGCGAATCCAAATGGAGGTGCATAGGAAACTGCAGGAACAAATCGAGGCATGTTTCATGGAGTTCATTTAAATTCAGATATTATAATTTATGTATGTGAATTAGACCATGAATTATACTGCATAATCATATACCAACCAGGTGCAAAGACATATCCAGCAGAGAATTGAAGCCCAGGGGAAGTATCTCCAGTCTGTTATAAAGATGGCACACGAGACACTTTCTGGATGTGGTTCTTCTTCTGTAGAAGTGGAGCTTGCAAAAGCTGAAATCTCTAAATTGAAGTTAATGGTTGATATGGAGTGCTTTAGCTGTTCATCTTCAGGGTTGACCGAAAAAGAATGTTCAGTAAGAAAAGACACAGAATGTTTAGGAAGGATGGAATATGAGCAAAAAGTGATGGAAGAAGCTGGGAAGCAGGTGCCTGGAAATTCTTCTGTGGAACTTCCATTGATGGAAATGCATCCAACCCATGGAAATAGATTAAATGGTCACACAAGTGGAAGAAAAAGAAGCCAATGCACCAGTTCTGATAATAACTTAATGAGAAACCATGTGACCAAATCTTCAAAGCCAGCACATATGACCAAAATTTAAAAACAATTGGATTCTTGAAGAATCTGGACTTGAATAAGAAGTGCCTTAGAGACTTCGATACCTGCCACCCTAAAGATATTGACTTGAACTGCAATGGTATGGAAAGGTTTAATGGGTACATATAGACATACAGTTTGAGTGTAAGCTTTGTATCATGTAAAGTGGCTGTGGGGAACATCATCAGCCAGAAGTGTTGTGTATACAAATCAGATAAAAGTAAATTAACGGTTAAAGATCTTTTATCCTTGACGATAGATACGTATTACTTCTTCCTTTTTTTAATTCTTACAACATTTTGACTTTTGCACTATTCATAGACCTTACTTTGACCACGATTTTCTACTAATATACATTATCATAATTTTTATCAATGTGAATTTCCAAAATATCAATTTTCTATAACGTTTACTAATACATAATTAAATATAATTACAGTCAAAGTTATGCATTGACAAACGTGAAAGTCAAAATGTTGCAAAAATTAAAGAACGAAAGATAGTATAACACACGGGAAGATTTGGGGGTGTTTGAAACTGATTTTGCTTCTACTTCTGCTTCTTTTTTAAAGCAGAATCAGAATCAGTTTCCAGAAGTTGGACTCCCTCAACTTCTAAAAAAATGATTCTAGGAGTAAATTAAAGCACTAGAATCACTTCTGCACTTTCATCCAAACACTCCAGCTTCTGATTATGCTCTCTGAAGGAGCAGAAGCGGTTTTAAGAATCAGATCCAAACACGTCCTTGGAAGAGTCCGGAAGGACGGACCCATGGGGCGTTTGGAACTTATTAGCTTCTGTTTTTAGAAGCTGATCTCCCACAACTTCTAAAAAAACTTATTCTAGGAGTAAATCACAGTACCAGAATTACTTCTACACATTCATCCAAACACTTCAACTTCTGTTTCTGCTCCCTGAAGGAGCAGAAGCAGTTTTAAGAATCAGATCCAAACACCCCTATGTGGGGCAGCAGGAATTCTTGGCTCTTGATTGATTATTGAGTAACTTATCATTAACTCAGGGTTATGCCACTATTATTAGCTTATTCGTGCTTAGTGAGTGTTTGCAATTGCTTCTACTTAAAAAAATCACTTTTTGAATGATTGGGAAAAAGTGATAAGTAGTAAAAGTTGATAGTGTTTGAGAAAAAAATGATTTTGAAAAGTAAAAGTTGGTAGTGTTTGGTAAAAAATAAGTGCTTTTTGTGTAATAGAAAAGGGAAAAACATTTTTATACGCAAGCCAAGAAAAAAATAAAAATTGATAGTTTTTGGTAAGTAAGTGTTTTTTTAAGCCAAAAGCTGAGAAGTGCTTTTTTTAAGCTATTGCAAACACTCCTTTCATCATGTGATCAGTAAGTGCACAAACTTTAAGAGAGTAAATGACGAGTGAGTTGCGAGGTCAGATTTCTAACACCATCTTCATCTTCCATTTTGTACGGAGTATATTTAGGATTTGTTTGCAAACACTAGTCACATACAATAACTTTTAAACTTTTTAAGTGATTTGGGAAAAAGTGATTAATAGTAAAAGTTGTTGGTGTTTGAAAAAAAAGTGATCTTGAAAAGTAAAAGTTGGTTTGACAAAATAAGTGTTTTTTATGTAATAGAAAAAGAAAAAATAGATTCTAGCTTTTAGCTTTTAAGTGTTAATTTAAGTAGAAGTTGTCACTTGAAAACACTCTTTTTGACCTTTTTAAGTCAAAAGCAGGGAAACGCCTTTTTTTAGTGTTTGCAAACAAACCCTTAGACTGTGTTTGTTGGAGCTTTTATGCTTTTTTTGTTAAAAAAAGCTAAAATTTGTGTTTGCAAAAGGAAGATTCTCTTAATTTTAGGGAGTGTTTGCAACAGCTTAAAAAAAGCACTTCTCAGCTTTTGGCTTAAAAAAGCACTTATTTACCAAACACTACCAATTTTCACTTTTTCTCGGCTTGCGTGTGAAAAGTGTTTTTCCCTTTTCTATCACACAAAAAGCACTTATTTTACCAAACACTACCAACTTTTACTTATCAAAATCACTTTTTTCTCAAACAATATCAACTTTTACTACTAATCAATTTTTCCTTACATCTCCAAAAGTGTTTTTTTTAAGCAGAAGCAGTTGCAACATTGGACATGCTTTTTTCTGCTTCTTGGTAATTTGGTAAATAATTGCAATTTTGAGGGACTTTGTATTTACACCATGCCTGTGTATATCCCGTCAAGAAAAATGCTAGAGGTAGACGTTTTGTGTACACGTTTGTTGTACACTTGTCTGTAATTGTCTGTGACAGACAATTTGTCTGTGAAAGACAGACAAGTGTACACCAAACGTGTACACAAAACGTGTACCTCTAGCATTTCTCATCCCGTCAATATCCTTCCCATCTTCTGCTACATCACTCACTCACCGAGGCTTCTGTAGTGCACTCATGGCGAACTAATTTTCTATCGACACTGAGGCTTCCCCATAAATTCCAATCATCCGTGTCTGCTTGGTGTATCTGCTAAGCATGTAGGGAAGCCGCTGTTCAAATTGAAGAGTTATACATGGTATATATATTGGTGGCACACATATAGGGTAGCCTAACTGTGAGAAACCATGAATACTAGAAGAAATCCCAGTGATTGGGTGATCTATGATACTTGAATTGTGGGGAGAATCTCTCTTAATACAATCGCATGGTATAATAGAAGCAAATGGGGGAAGAAGCCAAAAGGTAAAGGAGGCAGGTATAAAGGATTGTGTTATTGATGATTATCAGTGAACGTACATGAGTATATATAAGTACAGTTGAAGAGTTTAACTCTATCTATGCTACTGGTATACCGATAGGATAGTAAAGAGATAATATCACAATTAATAGTTACAACAAACATGACTAATAACTAGTAGATAATATACTAAATATTATCCGTGATATTCCCCGCAAGATGGAGGATCCATTGGAGACGCCAATCTTGGAACGGAAATGAAGGAAAGGAGTACGACCAAGAGGCTTAGTCAAAATGTCCGCTAGCTGAGGTGTAGTAGGTACATGATGAACAGACAACTTCCCAGCAGCTACCAAGTTGCGGACAAAAAAATAGTCAAGACATAGATGCTTCATACGGGAATGAAAGACTGGATTTTTGCATACGTATGTAGCACTTAATTATCACAGTAAAGGTGTGGTGACTGAGAAAGTGGGTATCCAATTTCACGAAGGAGATGTTGCACCCACAAAAGTTCGGCAGTAGCATGAGCAAGAGCACGATATTCAGCCTCGGTTGAAGATCGGACGACAGATTTTTGAAGGATAGATTTCCAAGAAATAATATTGCCACCAAAATATAGAAGATATGCAATAGTGGAACGGCCGTGAGTGGAGGTACTGCCCCAATCTGCATCAGAGAACGCTGTGAGAGAAAGATGTGCAGTAGGCCGCATGTACAAGCCATGACAAGAGGTGCCCTTGAGATACCGAAGTAGACGTTTAGCGGCAAACCAATGAGAAGAAACGGGTCCATGCAAAAATTGAGAAAGTCGATGAACCGCAAAACAAATATCAGGCCGGGTGAAACAGAGATACTGAAGAAGCCCAAGAAGCCGTCGGTAATCAGAAATATCAATAGAAGCAGTAGTGGTGTTGGCCGGCGGTAACAAATATGTGCAATCAACTACAAGTATATGTGTTATTTTATATTTATAAAATTTATGTGATGGAACAAAACATGATTTGTAGAAAGGAGTTTAATGTATTAGAATTGTTGATAAAATAGAATTGTTAGTTAAATATCTTATATTGTTTTATTATTATTGTTGTGGTGGTAGTTATTATTGCTATTATTATTATTATTATTATTATTATTATTATTATTATTATTATTATTATTATTATTATTATTATTATTATTATTATTATTATTATTATTATTATTATTATTATTATTATTATTATTATTATTATTATTATTATTATTATTATTATTATTATTATTATTATTATTATTATTATTATTATTATTATTATTATTATTATTATTATTATTATTATTATTATTATTATTGTTATTGTTATTGTTATTGTTATTGTTATTGTTATTGTTATTGTTATTGTTATTGTTATTGTTATTGTTATTGTTATTGTTATTGTTATTGTTATTGTTATTGTTATTGTTATTGTTATTGTTATTGTTATTGTTATTGTTATTGTTATTGTTATTGTTATTGTTATTGTTATTGTTATTGTTATTGTTATTGTTATTGTTATTGTTATTGTTATTGTTATTGTTATTGTTATTGTTATTGTTATTGTTATTGTTATTGTTATTGTTATTGTTATTGTTATTGTTATTGTTATTGTTATTGTTATTGTTATTGTTATTGTTATTGTTATTGTTATTGTTATTGTTATTGTTATTGTTATTGTTATTGTTATTGTTATTGTTATTGTTATTGTTATTGTTATTGTTATTGTTATTGTTATTGTTATTGTTATTGTTATTGTTATTGTTATTGTTATTGTTATTGTTATTGTTATTGTTATTGTTATTGTTATTGTTATTGTTATTGTTATTGTTATTGTTATTGTTATTGTTATTGTTATTGTTATTGTTATTGTTATTGTTATTGTTATTGTTATTGTTATTGTTATTGTTATTGTTATTGTTATTGTTATTGTTATTGTTATTGTTATTGTTATTGTTATTGTTATTGTTATTGTTATTGTTATTGTTATTGTTATTGTTATTGTTATTGTTATTGTTATTGTTATTGTTATTGTTATTGTTATTGTTATTGTTATTGTTATTGTTATTGTTATTGTTATTGTTATTGTTATTGTTATTGTTATTGTTATTGTTATTGTTATTGTTATTGTTATTGTTATTGTTATTGTTATTGTTATTGTTATTGTTATTGTTATTGTTATTGTTATTGTTATTGTTATTGTTATTGTTATTGTTATTGTTATTGTTATTGTTATTGTTATTGTTATTGTTATTGTTATTGTTATTGTTATTGTTATTGTTATTGTTATTGTTATTGTTATTGTTATTGTTATTGTTATTGTTATTGTTATTGTTATTGTTATTGTTATTGTTATTGTTATTGTTATTGTTATTGTTATTGTTATTGTTATTGTTATTGTTATTGTTATTGTTATTGTTATTGTTATTGTTATTGTTATTGTTATTGTTATTGTTATTGTTATTGTTATTGTTATTGTTATTGTTATTGTTATTGTTATTGTTATTGTTATTGTTATTGTTATTGTTATTGTTATTGTTATTGTTATTGTTATTGTTATTGTTATTGTTATTGTTATTGTTATTGTTATTGTTATTATTATTATTATTGTTATTGTTACTACTACTACTACTAATATTATTATTTTATTTTTTATTTTTTTAATAACGGTTCCTTAACGGTTCCATGCACATATTATTTATAGGAACCAGGAACCGAACCGTTATAACCCGCATCGGTTCGGTTCCTACAAATGAGGTATTAATTGTTAACGGTTCGGTTCGTAGATGTTGTTAACGGTTTGGTTACAATCGGTTGTACGGTTCCCAAACTTAGGGGGACGGAGGTAGTAGTAGATAATATACTAAATATTATCCGTGATAGCAGGCAGCCGGCGGTAGAGACAAGAGTTCTGTCTCGTTAATGATTTTTGGGGGTAAAGTAATTTGGGAGTATTTTTTTATTTTAATACGGAGTATTATATTACATCAAAAATCACTTTTTTACTAAATATTTCAACTTTTACATTTTAATTAAAATCACTTCTACTCACAAACACTACTAACTTTCACCACAAAACATTTTTCAATAATCTCTTTTCAATTAATCACTTTTGAAAAGCACAAACAAACATAATTATCCTTTAAGATATTAATTAAATTAATTATCTCTAATAGGAGTAAATGATAAAGTTACTAGATAGATTTTGATTGACTTACAATTGTCTTAAAGATTGACGTATCATGTTGCTTCTGAGTGAACGATTAACTCAACATATCATCAGAAATATGTTTTCTAGTCTTATTGGTTTGCCTCTAGTTTCTATCTTGATATAACCCCATAACTACTACTTTTACCTGTGCCGTGCACGGGGTAAAAGATGTTTCATAGTAGTATTATTTTTAATTTTAATATAAAATGTAGGAAAAAATATTTTTCATGTTGATTCTAATCGAACGCAACAAAATTTGTTGAATTCTAATCGACCACAACAAAATTTTCATAAATCTTAATTGTATTTTTAAATTATTGGAAATAAGTCTTAAAATAGGATTTTAAATACTGCTATACTTGTTTTACCATTGGAATACATGTTCATAAATTTATTTTTAATAGCTTTTTATTACTCATTATATATCCCACCGTGTATTAAAAAGTATTACTCAAAATATTACTTTTAAAATTCTAAAAATAATTGTTAACTATGAAAATTTTGTCTTATTCAATTAGAATTCATCAAGGCCCCATGAAAATAAATTCTCATGTGATATAATTTTTTTTTATCTGTACTTCAATTGTTACAAAAAAATATGTCAAAACTTATACTCCGTAATATTTTATTAGCTTTCATATGACACCAATATTGAGCATAAAAAGATAAAAAAATAATTTAACACTTTGAGACATTTGCTTTTTAAGTACTTTAACATTTTTATTTGTACTCTGATTGTCACAAAAAATATCAAAATTAATAAGTTTTTATAATCTTTCATATGACAACGATATTGAATATATACAACTAAAAACTATAACACTTTAAAAAATAACTTTTTTTAAAGTGTTATATCTTTTTATTTGTACTTTAATTGTTACAAAAAAACCTATCAAAATTCATAACTTTTTCTTTCATATGACACCAATATTGAATATATAAACATAAGAAAATAATTTAACACTTTAAAACATCTGTTTTTTTAAGTGTTGTAACATTTTATTTGTACTCTGATTGTTACATAAAACATATCAAATACATGACTTTTTATTATCCTTTAAGAAATAATTACATAAATATGACCAAAATAAAGATGATTTACAGAAATATGACTACTTACTAGAGTAGTAATGAAATCATAGTAATTCATGTTCAAGTTTTGAACTTAAGTTACCACAACACTACGTTGTAGTAATGAATAGTCATATTTATGTAAATAAGTTTTATTTTAGTAATATTCTTGTAAAAAACTCTTATTTTAATGACACCAATACTGAATATATAAAAATAAAATAAAAATTAACACTTTCAAATAAAATTTGTTTTCTAAAACTTCTATAACCTTTTTATTTATACTCCGATTATTACAAAAAAATATATTAATTTTTTTTAACTTTTTATTATTTTTCATACGACCCCAAGTCTCAACGTTGCATATAAAAAATATATTAATTTGTTTAATTTATGTTCGTTGTTTACCATGAACACAATTAATTGGAGTGATGACTTAGAATAAAACTGCGCAAATTTTAGAGCAAAGTATAAAATAATAAATAAAAGTGATGGGGTTTGTGTAGTTTTATTCTAAGTTGTTGCTCCTGGTTATTGTGTGCAGTGTAAAAAACGATCCAAATTACAAAAATTAATAGAATTAGTTTTTATTACTTTTATATATGCAACATTGGTGTCATATGAAAGATAATAAAAAGTTAATAATTGTGATATATTTTTTGTAACAACCAGAGTACAATAAAAACATATAGCAATTTTAAAAACAAATATTTTTAAAGTGTTAAATTATTTTTATTTTTATATACTCATATTGGTGTCATATGAAAGATAATAAAAAGTTATGAATTTTGATATAATTTTTGTAACAATCATAATACAAATAAAAAAGTTATAGCACTTTAAAATTTTAAAATAATCATTAGATTTTATTTTGTTAGGATCTAATAATATGCCAAGGAATATAACCTAGCTAGGAGTTTAATAACATAAGTAGGAGACTTATGTTATTAAACACGCGTAGATAGGAGACATATAATAATACACGTATGAAAAAAAATTATTGAGAAGGTGACATGTGGTAAAACTTTCCTAAATTGTAACTTTGAATTGTACTATATATAGATAGATATAGAGCCCGTTTGGTAGCACCAAAATCGGCTGTTTTGGCTGATTCTGCTGAAATTTATGATATTCTGGCTGGAGTGGCTGTTTTGGCTGATTCTGCTGATTTAAGAAAAAATATTTTAAAAATATATTTTATTAATAAATTAAAGAAAAAATTATATGTAAAAATAGCTAAAATGGTCCTCTACAGTAACTTCAGCCAATACAGCCAGAAAAGTAACTCCAACCTTACTTTTTCGGCTTATTACACAATTCAGCGCGCGAAAGTAAAAGTTACGTGTTTGGTGAAAAAGCTGGCTGATAAGCCTGATAAGCCGAAAACAGAGTTCTCCAAACGGGCTCATAGTTAGATAGATATAGGGAAAAAGATCATGTCCATCCAGATGGACAGGAGGCGTCGTCCGGCCGCCTCCATTTGGGGTGGTTTCCGATGTCATTTTTTATGAAATTTTGTGAGAATGTTCCTTATCAAGTCTGGTTTATCCACAAAAAATCAGTTAAAAATTCGATTTGGGAGACAGTCAAATAATTTTTGAAAAATAACCGCGTTTTATAAGTATAACTACGTTTTATATTCAAATATTTGACTGTCTTCCCGACCGAGTTTTTTAGCTGATTTTTTGTGTGGATAAACTAGACCTGATTAGGAACATATATATATATGTATGTAAGAGAAAAATGGTAAAGGTACCTCAATTGGTACCCCAATTTGTACCCACACCCTATTTTTGTGGCTCACAAAAGCACCTCATTAAAGTGGGACAATTTATATATTGAGGTGGGCTTTTGTGAGCCACAAAAATAGGTTGTGGTACAAATTGGGGGTACCAATTGAGATACCTATAGCAGGATTGTATATAATAAGTCCTCCCTCAAAATAAAGTTGAATTTGTCAACGATTGTTGACCGTAGTGCGCGTGGAATAATGTACACCACTCGCGAGAATCGAATTTTCCAGAAACACGTTAACCGACTTCGCTTCATCCCAACCGCCTCTCAGCACCTATAAATACTCCCAGTCTTTCCGTGAAAGCATACAGTGTCATCTGTATCGCGTGATCATCTGGTTCTCGTCCATCGGTTTGGCTGTGAATGTTTGGTTGACTCCACCTGTTTTTCTGGCTCGTTTTGATCCATTGTTTCTCGAGCCTTCTGGTTTCGCATTATTGATTTTATCGTCCATCGACGTATTCATGTAGGTCGGCCCGCTCCGTCGTTGATTTCACATCATATGCGTGTTTGACGGATCGAATCGCCGGACGTAACAGACCTGTTTGATTTCTAATTTAATCAGCTTCCTTTCCGTTCGCCCTGAGTCTGGATTTCTGAAGATGCACCTTTATAATGATCGAGCGTTTTTAGGCAATTTATTGGTTTGATTTCTTTACTGATGTAGCTCGAATCAGGGATTGGATTTCATCTGTGGATGTGCGAAGTTTTGGATTTGTGTGTTCATGACCTCACATGTGCTCGTCTTTTTTGTTTGAAATTTGATGCTAATTTTGATCTATTGCTGTATCTATCTACTCTTGCCGTTTTGACTCGGTTCGGATCACGCACTCGTTATTATTAGCTGAAAATTGCAGGATCATTCCTTGTCGAAGGATATCAATAGGTTCGATATATGCTAATTAAGCTACATGCCTAAATTATGCTATTTTTTTTTTTTTTTGCAATTTTGGGCTTGATGTAAGCTTAGACCCGTTGGTTAAGCACGTAGACTAGATTCATCTGTTGATTTAGCGTTCGCTGCACCTAGAACATATGCAGATATGTCTATTTTTTTGTTTTTCTTCGTTACCAAATAAAAAGAAAACATTTGCAGTGATATAATGCATATTTCATATTCATGTCTTTGCGAATCAGTCACAGAGGAGGGCCAAAAACTTCAAGTCTTTAAGTTTTGGGCAAGTTATGTTCAATTTTATAATATAGATTAACCACATAAAAATTTATAGTTTCTTTGAGTCGGTATACCATATGATTGCAACATTTAACATCAAACATTCATTTCAAGTCAAACGTCATCATTTTTATGTTTTTTGGATTTTTAACTTTTTTTTGTATTCCATATGATGTTCAGCTCAACATTACATATTTTCTGCTAGTCATATGCTCATTTTCCGATTTTTCAATATTTAACTTTTCATCTTTTTCTTTGTAAATTTTCCATTTATATATTTATATATTGTAAAAACATTATCCCAAATTCTGTTAACATTTTAATATCTTTATTTATATTTGTATGACCGAGCCTTTGTTTTGGTTCCAGTTTATTTATTACTCGGCACATAGTATATCGTATGGTTGATGGCTGCCTCTCTGACGGTTTGGTTTTTAAACTTATATATGGTTGAACAATACGAGGGGACCCTGTATCAACTCCAACTTTTATCTCACTGGGTGACAAACTCACAATGATTAGTAGCTGACAGTTCATCCTATGTTTACTCTTCCAAATTTGCACCCATCTATCTTGTTTGGGTGTTGAAGATGAATCATGGGTTTCACTATCTTGACTTGTGATGTAGATGATATTTGGGATTTGATGTTTGGTCTTGAATGAGATGAGGGGGTTCAACATCAATTACAAATTTAGGTCTCAGTTGGCGACAATGATCACTCAGATTACTACTTTACACTTTACAGTTCGTCCTTCAGACATTTATCATATATTTCATCATTTCATGGCATCAATGTTATGTAGGTGAGTTTAATTGGAATTATATATTTTTGTAGTTTTCTTGGCATCAAGAAGTCTTGCCATATAGCAGAACCACCACAAGCTGATAGCTACTACGGTCTATTCTAAATTTACTCCACTTATTAGCTGTTGTCAACCCTCTTCTTCTTTTAGCCTGTTTGTATTTTGGATTTTTACCCATGGTTGGAGACTTCAACTGGTTTGATTAGTATTGTGCTTGGCTCTTTAGTACTTGATTTCTGGCAAGTTATGTCGTCCTTGGTAAGATGCAAACAAGTACCTTCTTGCTGTGGAGATGCTCATGTTAGATTTTGTTCATATGCATAGTAACATAGATCTGACTTCCCTATAGCATGTGTTTGCAACAAAATCGGAAAGTTGCTATCTTAGTTTGCTGAATATTCCCTTGCATTACAGATTTTTCACCTTCAAGCTTGCAAGATTTTGGATTCGTCTGGTTGAAGTGATACTGGTGTTTTTGTTGCATCTTAGGATTGCTGCTTCCAACTTGTATCTTCATTGGCCTGAAAATGTATTAGGGTTTTAATCTTTATTGTGAAGACCTCTTCTTTGATTGATGATGATTCCCTTTATGGATCACATATCTTCTTGAAGTTTTTATTTCAGATTGAGTATCTGTTTGCCCTGGCTTGAAAATGTATCAGGGACTTGATCATACTGGATTTGTCTTGAACACCTATCTCCCAGTTTGATTGACATATTCCCTGTGTTTTCGCTCTTCCAAGTAATACTTGGATTTACCTACTTTGATTGCTCAAGGTCTTCATTCCCAACTTGTCTGTCTGAGGTTTACAAGGTATCATGGAGTTGATCTCACGTTTAATGAAAAATTATTTGACTGTTTGGTTGATGCCATCATTTTGTTCATTGATGAGTTCCTGTATCTTTGGTTACCTTCGGTTTGTGTGTTTGGCATGGATTTGTACACAGTTAGATGAAGTTCAGCAATGTAATGCTTACTGTTTGGGAATTGCATCCAACTATGCTGTTTAGTTGCCGAAGATGAATCATGGACATCTCTCTTGATTTGATTTTCAGCTTAAGTTTGTCAAACTTGATGATGGGATCATACATCAACTATAACTTTTGGTCTTCCTAGATGATAATGATTACTTGATTATGATTTGGCAGTTCATCCGATGACACTCTTATCGTCAAGTTCAAACTATTAGATTAACTGAGTTGAAACTATTAATTTTTTTGTAGTTTTCTTGACATTAATGTTTTTAATGTCAGATCATGCATGTCATGGATCATTCTAACCACTAGTCAAGACCCCAAGCGGGTGCTAGAACAATCATATCCCGGTTCTTCTATATTCACATTTTATTGGCTCTCAAATTCATCATTTTATATGTACTTACGCCGTTCACTTCTTGCCTTCTTGGAGATGTGAACTTGACTGGTTAGTTTCTGTGTTTGGCTTTTTAGTACTTAGATCTTGAATGTTTTCTCCTCTTTTGATTAGATGACAAAAAGTTCCATCTTGTTCTTAAAGGTTTTCCATATTCCGCACTGCTCTCTGTGTTTAGCTTTCTGTATGCCACAGGAGAAGTAAATCTTTGCAATCCACAATCATGAAGAAAGGTGCGCCTTTGTACGCTTTGATTCACATCGGAAATCAAGACTGCTTTCACTCCAAACTTGTGAGGAAGCTTTCAAAGGCGTTCGTAGTTGTGTATCAATAGTTGTACTTGTTATTCGACTAATGATTTTTGGCAAGATCAATATATAGTGATCAGTTATGATTGCTCAATTCAACGTACATGGTTTGAAGTTAGGCTTTACAGTCTCCTCTCCCATGTCTCAACTTCAGGGTTGCAAAATTATTCACTTCATGCTATTTCTATTATGAGCTATGACTTCTCAGTTTGGTAAGATCACTAGTTCCATTGATGAATCCTTCTTTGTTTTGGGTATCTGGTTGATTGATGAATCCCTCTTTGGCTTGGTTATCTTCAAGATATCTTTTTCCAAGTTGTGTTTGCTTTGGCTTGAGAATGTATCTCAGGTATTGATCTCATCCTGAGAACATTGACAAATTGCCCGTGGTGACGTGGTCTGACTATATTTGTGAGTTAAGTTCGTTATTTCCAACTTGTACATCAGGGCTGGAAGACATATTATGGAGTTGATCTCAGTTGCAAATAAAAACTATTCGATCTATCTTTTAAACATCTTTTGATTGGGATATGGTATTTGTGGTCCTTGTGGCTTCATTCTTTTTTATGGGCAGATTAGCATGTTATGGAACATTCTAATCACTAGGCCAAGCTAAATCTGAGGACCGCCACATGCGGGTTCTACTACATTCACTTCTTATTGCCTCTCAGTCCATCATTTATATATACTTATATATGTTAAGTCTGTTTTTGTTTTTTTAGTACTTGAACCTGGGATGATATGTTGTTCTGATTCGATGCAAAGAAGTTCCATCTAGCTGTCCTTTGGCGCTGTTCTTTGTGCTTAGCTTCCTTTCCTTGAGTTAAAATCCTTTATCACGTTTCTTATGCCATTAGGATAAGTAAGTCTGTGCAATCCGCATTCAAGAGACCGGCTTTGCGCTACTTATTCTAGACAAAGGTGCGTCGATTTGCACTTTCATTCAGACGAATCCGAACTCAAGTTTTGATAGTGCATTTACCATTAATTGTACTTGTTATACTGTGATCAGTTACTATTGCTCCAACTAAGGTACATAGTTTCAAGTTTGGCTTTGCCGTCTCCTCTCCATGCTGTAATCTGAGATGTCTTGCTTGCATGATTTTGGTCTCATCTACTTGAAGTGATGTTTGGTTTACCCTATTCCTGTCTTACAGGAAGTGTTGCCAGTTTGTGTGTGCCTTGAACTGAAAATGTATCAGGGGTTTGATCTCAGCTTGGAAGGGGTTTGATCTCAGTTTGGGAAGATCACTGGTTCCACTCTCTGTGTTTCCTATCTCCTTTTGATTTTTGTTTTAGATTGAGTGTTCAAGATATATTTTCCCAACTCGTGTTTGCCTTTACTTGAAAATGTATCAGGGGTTGATCTCAGTATGAGAAGACTACTGGATTCGTCTTGAAAGTCCTCATTCTGTTCGATTGACAAATTACCCTTGATCATAGGTCTGACAAGAAACTACTTGATTTGTCTTGAACATCATCTACCATTTTGATTTATCATATTCCCTATGTTTTCGCTCTTCTCGTGATACTTGGATTTAACTAGTTTGGTTGCCATCACATTGTTCATTCAAGAGCTCCCGTATCCTAGGTTACCTTCCTGTTGGATGCCATCACGTGGTTTCATTGAAGAGCTCCCGTATCCTAGGTTACCTTCCTGTTGGATGCCATCACGTGGTTTCATTGAAGACCTCCCGTATCCTAGGTTACCTTCCGTTTGTGTGTTTGGCTTGAAGTTGTACACATATTTGATCTCAATTTGTGAAGAGTTGCCGGTGAAGATTTTTCTTTTGGGTTAGATTAAAAATTCAGTGATGTCATGTTTATGTTTAGTGTTTACTGTGGGAATTGCTTCCATCTATTCTGTTTAGTTGCTGAAGATGAATCGTAAACATCTTTCTTGACATTTGATGTACGTTAGACAGGATTGGATTTTCAGCTTCAGTTTGTCGAAATAGACGATGGGGTCATACAACAACTATAGTTTTTGGTCTTACTAGGTGATAATGATTACTTTATTACGATTTGGCAGTTCATCCTATGACATTCATATATCTCCAAGTTCATTATCACAACATCAATAATGTTTTAGATGAACTGAGATGGAACTATTTATTTTTTGTAGCCTTCTTGGTGACAATGTTTTTAATGGCAGAATGCATGTCATGGAACATTCTAACCACTAGTCAAGACCCCAAGTGGGTGCTAGAACCATCACATGTGGGTCCGGTATATTCACTTTTTATTGGCTCTCAAGTTCATCTTTTATGTTTGATGCCTCCTTGGAGATGTGAACCTGACTGGTTAGCTTTTGTGTTTGGCTTTTTAGTACTTAAATCTTGAATGTTTTCTCCTCTTTTGAATAGATGCCAAAAAGTCCCATCTTGTTGTATAAGGTTGCCCATATTCTGCACCACATTTCTGTATGCCATTGTAAGTAAATCTGTGCAATCCACTATCATGAAACCGACTCTGTATTAAGTAAGATGTGCCTTTGTTAACTTTTATATACACCAGAAATGAATGCACATGACGGCTTCACACTCCAAACTTGAGAGTAAGCTTTCAAAGGCGTTTGTAGTCGTTTACTATTAGTTGTACTTGTTATTCCATTGTGATCAGTTATGATTGCTGAAGTCAGCATACATAGTTTGAAGTTGGGCCTTACAGTCTCCTCTCTCATGTCTCAGCTTCAGGGTTGCAAAATTATTCACTTCTTGTTATTATGAGACTATGAGTTATGACTTCTCAGTTTGGGAGGATCACTAGTTCAATTGATGAATCCTCTTTTGTCTTGATGATTCTCTTTTTGTCATGGTTATCTTCAAGATATCTTTTCCCAAGTTGTGTTCGCTTTGGCTTGAGAATGTTTCAGGGATTGATCTCAGCCTGAGAAGATTGACAAATTGCCTGTAGTCTGGCTATCTTTGCAAGTTTAGGTCGTTATTTCCAATTTTTGTACATCTGGGTTGGACGACGTATTATGGAGTTGATCTCAGGTGCAAATAAAAGATACATCTTTTTAAACATCTTTACCTGGTTTTTGTCGATGGATTTCATATGTTTTGGTTATCTTCTTGAAATTTGAGATCCTTCACCATGTATAACGTCATATTTCCACTTTACAGCTAGTATATATGTGTCGTTGGCTTGAAGTTGCATGATTTATTTGGTCTAGATTGCAAAAAGTTACCTTGTTTGGTTCCTCAGAATGGTACTTTGGTTTCCCTCTGGCTTCTGATGTAAATTTGGTTGGAGATATGGACTAGTCTTAGTGGGTCAAACGTGATGAGGGGCTCCTACATCAATGCGTTTTTCATTATCTGATAGGGTGAACAAGATAGTTAGTACATCACTACATTCCATCTCAGTTTATCTTGAAGTAAATTATCGGTGGCATCTTACAATATTTAAGATGATTTTTGATTGGGATATGGTTTTTGTAGTCCTTGTGGCTTCATTCTTTTTTATGGGCAGATTAGCATGTTACGGGACATTCTAATCACATGGGGCAAGCTAAATCTGAGAACCGCTACATGCTGGTTCTATTACATTCATTTCTTATTGCGTCTCAGTTATTTTTATATACTTATACATTTTACTTCTTTGATCCACAATTCATACTAATTTAGACTAATTTGGGCTATGCTCAACTCTTTTTTTTTTTGGATATTTTTCATTATTGGAGACATGAACTGGATTAGTTAATTCTGTGTTTGTATTTTTAGTACTTGAACCCGGGAAGTTATGTTGTCTTGATTAGATGCAAAGAAGTTTGATCTTGTTGTATAAGCTCTCCTTTGGTGCTGCTCTTTGTGCTTAACTCCCTTGCCTGAGTTAACATCCTTTAACACGTTTCTTATGCCATTAGGATAAATAAGTCTGTGCAATCTACATTCATGAAACCGGCTCTGCGCTACTTATTCTGAAGAAAGGTGCATCAGTATTCACTTTCACTTTCAAGAATCCAAACTCAAGAAGTATTGACAGTGCATTAAGGTGATCAATTATTATTGCTCAAACTAAGGTGCATAGTTTCACGTTTTCATTGCCTTCTCTTCGTGCTATATTCTCAGATGTCCTGCTTGCATGATTTGGTCTCATCTAGTTGAAGTGATGTTTGGTTTACCCTAGTCCCATCTTATGGTAAATGTTGCCATTCCGTATCTCCCTTGAACTGAAAATGTACCAGGGGTTTAATCTCAGCTTGGAAAGGGTTTGATCTCCGTTTGGGAAGATAACTGGTTTGACCTTCGGTGTTTGCTATCTCCTTTAGATTTTGGTTTTAGATTGAGTACTCAAGATATCTTTTCCCAACTTGTGTTCGTCTTGGCTTGAGAATGTATCAGGGGTTGATCTCAGAGTGGGAGGACTACTGGATTCATCTTGAACGTCATCACCTTGTTTGATTGACAAATTGCCCATGGTCTGGCTATCTTCCTAAATTTAGGTTTACCTTGATTGTTTGCTTGATGTCTTTGTTTCTAACTTTTGTATGTTCAGGCTAGAAGACGTATAAATGTATAATGGAGTTGATCTTAGCCGCAAAGTGGATTTGTCTTTTTTAATGTTGTATCCTGGTTTATGGATGGAACCCATATGCTTTGGTTATCTTCTTAAAAGTGTGGTGCTTAGACCACCGTAAATCATCCTAGTGTCCAATTTGTGTGTATGTGTTGTTGGCTTGAAGTTGAATGGTTTATTTGTTCTCAATTGTGAAGAGTCCTCAGGATGGATCTTCCATTTTACTCTTCACTTCTGATGTAATTTTATTTGGGATTTGATGTTCAGTCTTAATTGTTCAAATGAGATGGAGGGGATTCTGCATCAACATATCTTTTTGGATCTGAATGGGGAACTATACTGTACAATGTGTGATGGCTTATCTCCAAGTAAACTTTTGTGGATAGTTCATCAATTATTTCCAATAATATTTTAAATGACGTGATTGGGAAATGTTTTTTTGCTGTCCTTGCGGCATCAATCTTTTTTGTTCCACAACAATGCATGTTGTGGAACATCCTAACCACTAGGCCATGCTAATTCTGAAAACTATACAATCGGGTTCTATGATATTCACTTTTTATTGCCTCAGTCCATGTATATATACTCGGCACTTAAATCTGGAAAGTCATACATTTATGCAAACAATTCCATCTTGCTGCATAAGATTGCCTAAGCATGCTCTGTGTGTTTAGCTTCCTTCTCTGAGCTAACCTTCTCTACCATGTTTCTATATGCCACTCGGAGAAGTATGCACAATCCACATTCCAACCCAGCTTTGCATTACGTGTTCTTATGCAAGGGATTACGCTTTAGGATTAAATTATTCTGTCCAACCCCTTGGAACAGTAGCTTATTCATCATGAACATGTCCTATCGCATACAGGAGGGCTGCCCCTCTCTCTGTCCTCCCCAGGGAAACCCCTCATACCAATTCCTTGCGTATGGAGCCATGTCGGTCAAGCTAAGAAAGGTGCGGCTGAACTTGATGGCATGTCTACCATTACGAGGTACATAGTTTCAAATTAGGTCTTATTGCCTCCTATCCTAGGCCTCAGCTTCAGGCGTATGAAAATGGCCAGGATATATATATCTGTCACCGCTAGGCTATGTTTGTTTTACATGTTTCTCGGAAATATCTAGATCGTCTCTTGTAACTATATGTGTGGTACTTGGTCGTGATGAAAATGGGAAGCTGCTATCTAGGGTTAGAAATTTGTTCACTTTCATGCTATGACCTGAGTCACCTGACACGTCCTGCTTGCATGATTTTGGACTCATGTAGTTGAACTGATGCTCTATTTACCCTTTTTTGTCTTAAGATGTGTCTTGCGCTGGCCTTCTGAAAGTGTATTAGGGGTTTGATCTCAGTATGTGAAGATAACTGGTTTGATTGATGAATCCCTCTGTCTCGGCTATCTTCTGTAGATTTTGGTCTTAGATTGAGAATTGGAGTTATTTATTTGCAAGGTGTGTGTGTGTGTGTTGGCTCAAAATGCATCAGGGATTGATCAGTGTGAGAGGATTACTAGATTTGTCTTGGACACCATCAACTGGTTTGATTGACGACTTGCTTCATGCTCTGGCTAACTATGTGACTATAGGTGTACCTGAATTGATTGCTTGAGGTCCTTGTCTCCAACTTGTGTACGTCTGAGCTATAAAATGTATTATGGAGTTGATCTCAGTTGCAAAGAAAAATAATAGATTGTCGCATTAAATGGTATAACCTGGTTTTATTAATGAATTCGGTATGCTTTGGTTGTCTTCATACTTTTGGTCTCAATTTGAAAGAGTTCATGGATGATTTCTCTCCTGACATGTAAATTAGGTTGAGGATGCGATATTTGGTCTCAGTTGGTTGAATGTGATGATAGGATCTTACATCGGCAACAAATTTTGATCTGTTTGGGTGAACTAAACAGTACATCTTATGGCAGTTTATATCTAAGTAAATTTTTATGGCACCAATAATTTTATTGATCAATTTAATTGGAAGTAGTTTGGAACATGACAGTTCTTTATTCCTTGTGGCATCGATCTTTTCTATGACAGTTTATGCATGTCATCAAAGAACATAAATGACTGCATGTCCAAGACTCCAAGCTCTTCGCGGAACCATCGCTCTGGGTTCTATTGTATGTATTTGTTGGCTTAATTCCATTTATAAACAATTGTTCTGTTCACTTTTTGGCTCTTATTTATTGTTTTTTTTCACTTGCAGATTTTACTGTTGATTCATTGCAGGAGTCATTCTAAGTGCTTTTTTTTAAGGTTGTGTAGTTGGACAGGTTATTTTGACTTAGGCATTGAACAATTTGTAACCAATGGGAATGGTGTGGCCGAATGAGAAACAAGTCCTTTTCCAGTTCAAAAAACAGTTTTGATTTATGGTAACTATAATTATGTTCACTGCCAAGTCCATCTACAGTTCATTTTTTCTTTGTGCTCCTTGGTTAGGAATTAAGACTTGGATTCCCACTTGGAACTAGTTGATGCATCTTGCTGTAAGTCATTGTCCGGACTGCCCACTGTTCCCTCTGTAACTCTCTTTTGTTTCCTTGGCTTGAAGAAGTACCTCTTCAATTTTCAACCTTGTCTACCTATCCATTTTTTAGAGTTAAGCATTTTGTTCTGCTTTAACAGCTCTTGGTCTATAAATTCCATACCCTTCTCCTTGTTCGTTCTGTTGTGATTTTTTGGTCTAGATCCTGGATATGGTGCAATTCACAAGGTTTCGGAATGCATTGCTGTTCGTTTAACGGGAAGGATTTTTGACCCATTTGCTGAAGATAATTGGTTTCAGTCTTTCAGATGTTTTTTGGTGTCTCACTAATAGGCAATGAGAGTTAAAAGGATAGCCTAACAGATACGTTGGTTGGATACTTTTTCGGGGTTTATTGCTATAATTGTATTGGTAAGTTACCCAGTTAGCGTCGTTTTTGTTTGTCTGGTAACTGTACATAAGGCTTTTTGTTTTTACTTGTGTAGTTGAGGTCATGCTCAAGATGTCAATTGTCAACTGTTTTAATTCATCCTGTGTGAGGTGCTTGTAGCGAATGATGAGTTTCTGTAGGTGACGTAGGTGTGACTGACGCATTGGTGGGCGAACTGCGAACAGTTGTATATGGTGCTGGAATTGGTTGTGCTGAACTGATCGATGTCTAGATGCAAGCGGCTTATGTTGGAACTGGAGACCACTGTTTGTTGTTTTATGTGTATGATGTGAAGTTCTGTTCCATGTTGACTTATGGTAGTTATGGAGGAATTATCCAATCCAATGTTTACTATGGAGAATTGCTTTTCCTTGAAAGAGATGGCGTACACCTGATCTGCTGAGTTGCTTTATCTGATGAAATGTAAAAACTTGATGAAGGCGGGGTTATAAAGTTAGTTTGAACACAGAATGCTTTAGGCAGTTTAGGGTGGTCGAAGAGGCACAGGAACTACTCTACACTCGTAGGATTGTGATTATTCAGGGGCGCTTTGCTTCTTAAATATTGAAAAATGACTCGTAATTTGAGTTGTTCATGTACTCATTGTAAAATAATGATGATTTAAACCATAGTGTCATTGATCAAGCATCACCTATTGGTTAATTGATTCGTTTATGTATAATGTAATTTCCTAACAATCTAGTAGAATTTCCCTTTCAATTAGGGTAATAAGACTTGCTCAAATTGTGGATTGTCGATAGTCATAACTCATAACAAAAGCCACTCGACGTGTAATAAATTAAGTAAATTGAATCAAGTAAATTGGGACAATCGGAATCGCTAGTAATATGAGACGTGGGTGGACCGAACTATTGCTAACCATGATTCCATAAATCCCAAATTGATCTCAACCTAAATTACCTAATTGATATTATAGATTCGTTGCTTGCCACCTTGCTGTTCTTGAACAGCTTTTCCTTTTTTCCTTCTTTCTGCCTTTTGCTTTGAACGAATAAGGATCAATGCTGACGTGATACTTCCTCCATTCTAAAATAAGTGCAACGGTCAACATTTCACATTTGTCGAGGCACAATTTTGATCATTAATATATCTAACTCTCTATTAGTAAAAAAAATTAAAAAAAAATAGATTTTGAAAATTTAGAATGAGACAAATTTAGTAATATTAAATATATTAATGCATCAATAAATAAAATGTAGTCAAAGTAGAACATGTGAATAGTGTAAAATTTGGTATGTTGCACTTATTTAAGAACGGAGGTAGTACTTGTTTTCATAATGTAGTTATCAATTTTGAATTTAATAAACGATACATCTAATAAACGAAATATCATCACAATTAAAAAATTCAAGATAATACCAGAGTCTGTTATAAGCCACAAAAGCTGTAAAAATCGCTTATCATGTGGATCTTTATGTTTTTAACTACGAAAAATTACAATTTATCTACAAAATGAAAACGATTGAAATGCTAGTACAATTTTTCTACCAGCTAACTTTAACTTTACACAAAAAATAAAGCAGTATGTGATTTTGTAACTGGCTCTCCCATGCTGCCATGCATATTGGTCAATGGCTTGTGCTTCACAATGAATATGACCTCCAAAAATGTCTTTCTTGATCTGTAAGGAAAGAACCTGTTCTTGTTCGTACAACTATCAGACATCATCACACCATATAGACATGCATGCAAATTTTTATATACCGCTCATTTCCTACAACATTTCATGATTTCAAAGTAGGTGTCACAATAGCATTTTAGTTTATTATATTCAAATCTCAATTATAACATTTATTTTTCCAATTATTTTATTATTAATTGTGTCAAGTTAAAGTAAGACAAATAAAATGCGAGGAAAGTAATATATAATAGTAACAGTGTAGATTTAGAAAGGGCTGTATTTCATTTTTATTATTTAGCAAAACAAACTAGTATTCTCGTTTCATGAGTGTCCAATCATGTTATCTATTTTGATTCAATAAACTGTTCTGGCCGCACATAATTAATTATATGTTTTCAATATCAGTTCTGACTGTAATTAATGATATTGATCATCTAAACATTTAAAATATTGTCTGGTAAATGGATTGTTGGTGTAAGGCTGGATCATGTCCCCCTGATGCTATTGTCATGGGCCTATCTACGCCACACTTAAACACAAATAAATGGTTTAGGGTTAGGGTTAGTAGGTGGGTCACGAAGCCCAACAAGCTAAGGTAAGTAGGTCAAGGAAGTAAATGGACCGAATCCAAAGGGTCGAAGCAACAATAAGGGGGGCCGGGTTGCAACCAAGACATGTCCAAGTCTCAGAAAGAGATATAAAGACCTTACTTAGCTAGGTCAATACCTCCCACATTTTCCACCTTATTTGTCTTATGTGTGGTGTAGTCAAAATGGAGCCGTCAAAATGGGCCGGAACCCGCAAGCTAGCATGTTTAAACTCATTTATTGGTGGGTTAGGGTTGTGAATTTCTGACCCATTTAGTCCGTGGGTTTTGTGGGTCAACCCACGCGGGTTGCGGGTTTAAGTGGATTGGCCCAACGAGTTACGGGTTGGCCTGCGGGTCAATATACAAACATGTAGTTTTTGACTTTTATTATCTTCAATATTGTTCTTTGACTACCAAAATTATTATAATCACAATTAAAAAAATTACAAGTATTGCAAAATGATTATTATTTCCATAACAAATATTCAAATAAAATGTTGAAACATATATTTTATGTGAAGTTCGATACAATATTTAACAATTAGTAGTCATGATTTACTAATAATAAATCAAAAGGTTTAAAAAGGTTTAAATAGATATTTACTTTTACTTTTATACAATGAGTATTTGTGTTACATATTTTCAAATTCTCGTATAATTAGTATTTAGTATCTTTTTAACAAGTATTGGGTTAACTTCTTAGTATTTTGATTTCTTATATTTCTCTTATTACTACTAACTAATATAAATATATACTCCATAGTAATTATTTTTAAAGAATCATTTGTAATATATTTTTTACATTGGCTCGTGGGCCAACCCGTTCGATCCACGGGTTAGGTGGATTGGGTCGGGTTGTAGAAATTCTGACCATCACTAAACGAGTGGGTTCGACCCAACCCACATAAACTATACCAGTTACAGGTTGAGTCGGATTGGATTGGGTTGGTCCGTTTGACAGCTCTAGGTGAGTAGACAACAGTGGCATGGGGGAACTCATCATCATTGGGTTGCCTAAAATATCGAAAAGTAGGCAAGAATTGGAGATGCGTAAAGCACTCTTTAGGTCACAAAGAACCAAAACAAATGAAGCACCCTTGGATCTTCAGATCTAGAAGATCCAAGGGACACGGTGATCGTCCAGAGAATTCTTGGTTTTCAGGGCAAGACCTAGGGGCTAAACAACCCCTAAAGCCAGCAATCTGCAAAACAAACAACCCAATCCACAATCCCTAGTTAATGTTCGTTTACAAGACAATAACTTTTCAACAGAGACATTTGGTCCCCATATTAGCAGGATTAAACTCCGATGGCATCATGTCCAGCATGATATCTCTAACATCCACAATCTCCCGGATGAAGTGGAACCTATGTGCCCACATTTGTGCTTAATCCTGTCATGAAACACAAGATTTTTGCAAAGAGAGTCCTGTAAGACTCATGGCTTGCTATATTTTTAATAAGAGCATAAATGTCAATGATATAAATATGTGTATTAGGTATATTACTAGAAAGAAATAAAATATAAATAGTGGTTTAAAAGAGAGTGCCGTTAGTAATGATCCGTGCACATTGCACATTGTTGTATTGAGTATAATTGGCTTTTTTATGAAAGACTTGACTTTCCATCGCTATACTCTTTACTTCTTTAGTTCCTTCATCTCCAATTACTCTTTACATTTTGTGTACATACACCAAGAATGGTCCTTCTCTATGGAAAATTCTTAGTGTACACAAGTTGTACACAAATTGTACACAAAACCCCCCTAGTTGCCTGTGTACACAGGCAATTCATTTAAAAAGGGACAGAACTTGATGTCAAATTGTCTGTGTACACAGGCAATGTACACATTTTGTGTACATGTTGTGTACACCATTCTCTATAGCAAGCAACTAATAAAAATTATTGGGATGCTCATATTAATAACTAAAATATTACAGAAATTCATTGGCAGCTATCCCAATTTCAATCCCTAAAAAGAAATACGCAATCAAAGCATCGAGATTAATGATCAGTTTCATAGCTTTTCAATCAAGACTCTTGCATCCTGCTGCTTTTAATGTAAGTTAAAGTGTCTCCCATTATGGGTCATGGTGGGACTGCCTAACTCAGCAGGGAATCAAGAATCAACAATCATGGTGGGACTGCCTAACCCAGATTGACAGGATTATAGAAAACATGAAGATAAAACAAACCCTACACTTGGCCTTTTTCTCTCCTTTTGAGATTCAATTTGAAGACAGTTGTTTCATTTGGATTTTCATAGAATAACTGAGATTCTATTGAGCTATTTTAGCTGAAACTAAACTATTTACGAGAAAAATTATGGACTTATAGAAGAGAAAAATGACCTTAAATTGATATCTTTCAATATCACATACGGAGTACGAATTATATTACAGAATTACTAAACTATATGTAGTGTGAGGGTGGGTAAAATACAAATACAGAGATAACAACATGGGAGACCCTGGCAGCTTACCTTAAATCTATATAAACACCTACTGCTTCCACATTTTAAGGATCAACCCAATTCTCTCTCGCTCCCTCCCTCCCTCTCCTCTCTCTGGATGTATATCTCGGCGAAAATGATCCTTGAGATCGCAAATAATAAGAATAAGAACCCCTGGCTGGTAGGCAGTGGTGATACAAAGCCACGGCTGAAATGGACTCCAGAACTTCACCATAGATTTGTTGATGCAGTATCTCAGCTTGGAGGTGCTGAGAGTGAGTTTTACTCTCCTCCATTCTCATCTTTTATATATTCTGCAAAAAAAAGGCTCACTTAGTTCATCATGGATCATAATATTGGTGACAATATCATGCACGTGCAGAGGCTACACCGAAATCATTGATGAGAAAAATGAACATTCAGGGGATTACTCTTTACCACCTCAAGAGCCATTTGCAGGTATTTTTTCCATTGTCACCTTAAAATCAACTTTTGATTATCTGTCTATAGTTTGTGGTGTGAAGTATGAATTCATGAATGCTAGCTCCATGCTGCAGAAATTTCGACTTGGGAAAGGCCAGAATCCTCAGCCACGCCAAGATAGCAAGCAAGAAGGTACTAGCATGTGCTTTTTTTGTTGCTGCTACTTCCCACCCAACTAGTATAGAGTCACTCACAGCTCACTGGCCTTAATTCCAAGAAATTAGCTTATGGTGTTAATTAAGTTAAGAGCTAATGCCAAATGTACTACCTCGACTATACGCTGTTGCTTAATCTGGCCCTCAGCAATTTATTTTATTAAACTATGGATCCAATTTTGCCCTCATTCATATCTAGTTCTAAATGAGAAGAGTATTTTGGTATGCTCACTGAATTTAGTCCCAATTCCCGACTCAAATGGCCTCAACTATGTAAGTATAACCAAACTTAATCCTCATTGTATGAAAGTATCCTTCTCAATTAGATCAAAACACGAATGTAGATAAAGTTGAGTCTAAATTCCATATCGAGAACCAAATTAAGCCTAAAAGATAAGTACCAAATTTGGCAATATTGCATAGGCTAGGAACCAAATCAGGTATTAACACACTACTTTTTCCCGCTTACAAAATGACACAGCAAAACTGAGGACTTTGGTGCTTGCAGATTACATAGAACATCAGAGTCAATCACCTGCAGACAACAGTGATGAAGCCCAGGGTCAGATGAATGAGTAATAACCTATAAACAGCTTCTTAGTCAGTGGGAGTTGGGTAATGGAGTGTTTTGCGGGGCTAGTACATCTCTCTTGATATGTATTTCAGATATTATAAAAGTTGAAGAAATAACATAATATGTGATAATACAGTACTTTAATCTTCCTCCTTTATTCATTTTATAGAAACATTTTATATATACCAAGCCCTCCAAAGCCCCAAACCCCTCCACCTAAAATATCCTTCATAATTTTATTAGAATGGATTTGAAATCTAGTCTACTAACACCTATATGGATAAAATTTCTGCTCTGATAATCTATAAGCACCGAAACAGCTCAGGCTTTGCGAATCCAAATGGAGGTGCATAGGAAACTGCAGGAACAAATCGAGGCATGTTTCATGGAGTTCATTTAAATTCGGATATTATAATTTATGTATGTGAATTAGACTATGAATTATACTGCATAATCATATACCAACCAGGTGCAAAGACATATCCACCAGAGAATTGAAGCCCAGGGGAAGTATCTCCAGTCTGTTATAAAGATGGCACACGAGACACTTTCTGGATGTGGTTCTTCTATAGAAGTGGAGCTTGCAAAAGCTGAAATCTCTAAATTGAAGTTAATGGTTGATATGGAGTGCTTTAGCTGTTCATCTTCAGGGTTGACCGAAAAAGAATGTTCAGTAAGAAAAGACACAGAATGTTTAGGAAGGATGGGATATGAGCCAGAAGCGATGGAAGAAGCTGGGAAGCAGGTGCCTGAAAATTCTTCTGTGGAACTTCCATTGATGGAAATGCATCCTTCCTTTGGAAATAGATTAAATGGTTACACAAGTGAAAGAAAAAGAAGCCAATGCACCAGTTCTGATAATAACTGTAATGAGAAACCATGTGACCTAATCTTCAAAGCCAACACATATGACCAAAATTTAAAAACAATTGGATTCTTGAAGAATCCGGACTTGAATAAGAAGTGCCTTAGAGACTTTGATAGCTGCCACCCAAAAGATATTGACTTGAACTGCAATGGTCTGGAAAGGTTTAATGGGTACATATAGACATACAGTTTGAGTGTAAGCTTTGTATCATATAAAGTGGCTGTGGGGCATCATCAGCTAGAAGTGTTGTGTATACAAATCAGATACAAGTAAATTAACGGTTAAAGATCTTTTATCCTTGAAGAACTAACTGTGAACCAACCATACACAATATGTCATCCATGAAGAAATATGGAAAGATTAAATTTTTACTTCTAATTCTTCACAATAAACCTCTTTAAGTATGTAACTATAACTCTATACATATGTGGAACTTACAACGACAAAAATTCTTATTATGACTCCATTTCATCATCAAGTGAAGCTGATGTGGAAGCAATAGGCTGTTCAGTTGTCTCCGCATTTCCTCTATTACCATTACTCCCAAATGAAAAGCTCAGCCAAATCTCTCTCCTCTGCCCGTTAGAAACCTTCTTGTTCAGATCATCACCATTTTCAGTGGGCAATTTGTACCTACAAACAGGGCAAGACCCATGAATCCCCAGCCACTTCTCAATACACTTCTGGTGGAACCTATGCTTACAAGGCATTTCTTTAGCAAATCCAGCCAAACCCCACTCTTCCAAGCACACTACACACTCACTGTTCTTTTCATCACCACCAATCTCCACTCCTGGCAATGATTCAATGGAGGATTTTGAAGCTGGTAGCTGGCCTCCTTTGCTAAGTAGGTCTTGCAGAAGAGAATCCAAGTTAGATGAAGATGAGCTGCCACCAGGTTCTATGACGACCATGCCTTGGGTCACAGGGTTCACGAGCACGATTCGGTCAAGTGAGTCATGCGCGATGGGAGACTCACTATTTACCTGGTCTGGGTCCGAGGAATCTTGAAGTGGGGTTGGGTTTATGAAGCTAAAATGGAAGGGCAGGAACTGCTGAGAAAGGTCTCTATTTCCTGAGATGGGGTGTAGCGTATCAAAGTCCATTATTGGGGTTTCTGCTACCAGGATAGAGACTATGAAGTGAAGCTTTGTGTGTAAATGGGAGGGGGGTGGGGACTGTTATGGAGAAGATGAATTTAGATGATGAAGATATAGGACTCCGGAATATTTAGAAGAGTCTGGAAGGATGGAACTATGTGCGGTAGCAGGAATTGTAGGCTCTTGATTGATCAGTTGTTGATAACTACTCCGTATTTTATTAGTCTCTCCATTTTACTTCACATTTATATCATTTTTAGAGCCCGTTTGTTAGTTTACATATTAAAACTTTACATGAAAAATGATTGCGTGTAAAGTTTAGGGTCGTAAAATACTCCCTTCGTATTTTAATGGGCACTACATTAGCTTTGGGCACAATATTTTAGGATAGAATAGTAGGGATAGTGAATATTGTAGAAAAAGTAGAAGAAAGTGTGTAAAAGTATGAAAGAGAAAAAAAAAGTATTACCTCCGTCCCATTTTATGTGTCTTAGTTAGACTTGGCACGATTGTTAATAAAGTGGTTGAAAAAGTAAAAGTTGTGGTAGAGGTTTGGATATAATAAAGTGAAATAGTGTAGACCGCATATTTCTTTCCAAAAGAGAAAACGAGACACTTATTTTGGGACAACCCAAAAAGGAAAGTAGGACAGGTAAAATGGGACGGAAGGAGTAGATAAAGTAGAGTAGTTGAATATTTTATAAAGGGTAAACTTACCAAAAATGGAAGTGTAGGAAACTTTTAAATACATCTCAAAAAGAAAATTAAAGTGTAGGGAACTTTTAAATACAGAGGAAGTAGTTTGCATGTAAAATAGAAATACATTGTTTGGCCATTTGTGCAATCGAGATTTAAATTACACATTTACACATAAACTCTTGTTGGTGGTCAAATAAGTTTACATGTAACATACGGAGTATTTAGAAAAGAACTACTCCTTATAGTTCATAGAGTAGTTCATTCTTTGCTCTATGAACACTAATTGTTTTCCATCACACAAAAATAATTTCTTATTGCCTTAAAACCTCCATTTCACCTAACTGTAAATGCACTCTCAGAAACTCTAATTCATAACTAAATCACTAATACATCAGTCTTATGAACAAATCTTAAATTCATGCACCACACATTTTATAAGACTACATATTCAACTACCTTAATATGCATAATCACATAATGTTTTCACACTGAACATCGATTTACAGCTTTACGTTAACCATTTTGCATATTATTTTTACATCACACAAATTTCACTTAATATGGCATTAAAATGCAATTTCACCTAACTATAGAGGCACTTTCAGTAACTTGAATTCATCAATAAATCACTAATTCACCTGTCTTATGAAGAAATCTTAAATTAATACACCTCACCTTCTATAAAACTGCATATTCAACTACATTAACATGCATAATCACATGATTTTTTGCACACTAAACATTGATTTGCTGCATTACGTTAACTATATTGCATATTAGTTTTCCATCACACAAATTTCACTTAATATGGACCTAAACTGCAATTTCACCTAACTGTAAATGCACTTTCAGTAACTCGAATTCATCAATACCTCACTAATTCATCAGTCTTATAAAAAATTCCTAAATAACATGCACCACACCCTTTATAAAACTGTACCCTACCTAAATACCACATAAAGTGCACATTGAACTACTTAAATGTCAAAATACGATGTACTCACCATCAAGAAAAGGAGCGGACCGGTGAATGCCTTTTCCTTTCCTTTAGCCCATTCCATTTTCTTCTCAATTAGAGCCTTTATCACGTATTCGCACCAATTTAATTCTAATTCCTTTTGTGTCCTTCAAATTGTTTATGAAGGAGCAGTTTATGTATTCGTTCCTCGTATTGTCTATCAAGGTCGATATAACGAGAATTATGAAGTTCTGCACAAACCAATCTCCACCTTCCTCACATCTTAGTATTTCATGCACCACCTCTATTGACAAAACCTTAACCTTTCCTCCAAAAGAAGCTCTCCACTCATCCAACATTTCACTTTTATCCCCTTCCCCCTTCTTTAACACTGGTGTGTTACCACGTGGAAATCCCAGAACCAGCTCCACATCTTCTTCTGTGATGTGAATTTTCCTTCCTTTACCTAACTTCAGTGAACAACTAATTGGGTCGAAGTTGTCCACAATCCAATAACCAAGCTTAGACGGCAACTCTTGGATTCCTAGGTCTAAAAAAGCCCCAAACCCAACTTCACGCACTTGTTCTCGCTGTTTGTTAGTCAATTTCGCAATAGCATTCATCACCACATTCGATGATAATCTAGTGTAGAGGCTATGGTACTGGACCTTCAAGTCATTCACCACAACCCTCTTCTCCTTCTTCTTTGGTCTGCCCACACATTCTTTTTCCTTTCTCACCACTTGTTTTGGTAAATTCACGAAGCCTTCATCATTGCCAACGTCTTCACGTTCATTCAAGTCTGCCTCACTGCCCTCTTCTGTATCAGGCACCACCACATCATTAACGTTTTCATTACACACTTCTGTCTCCTTATTTATCCTTCCACTCCTTCTTTCACCACTTTCTCTTTCTGGACCACTGCTTCTCTTTCCACGAGCAGCCTTAGATCCTCCACATTGAAAAGAACATTTCATTGAAAATTGCACTAAATGAATTTGCACACCATTTTAATACTCTGTTTGCACCCCTTAATAATATGTATTTCAAATGAATGTAATTTAATAAAAGTTCACATCTACGAAAGACAGTTGGTTGTAATCAAACCTTTCAATTGGCCCCTTGATATACCCCCAGATTTCTTGGTTGCAACAACTTTTGCATTTTCCTTTTTCAACCTTCTCTCAACTTCTTTTTCCATCAACTCAAGACCTAAATTGTCTTCTATAAATGTACATGCAATTGAGGATAATTTTTTGTCATTCATACATCGTAAAATATTCAATACAATGAATTTTTACTATTTTTAACCTTGGAATTCATGTCTTGATTTTCTCCTAATTTCCTGTCGCTGCATGCTCAATTGCTTTTGTTTCTCAATCTTAGAATGGAACTTCATGAGCCCAGTAATCTTGTCTCCTAAAATTTCAATCACATCTTAATTTCAATAGTTCAAACAATTGAAACAATGAAAGTATAAATTTACTAACCATAGGGAAGAGATCACATACAAACACTGCTCCCCATACAAAATGCAAATCAATTTCGTGTGTCCAATTTAGCCAAATCAATGGCCCAAAACAGGTTCCTCACCGTTAGACTTCATGAGCTGCGCAGGAGCCGAACGGGAATTTTAAAACAAGTTTAGTAATTAAGGATAAAGAAGTCATTTGACATTGTTTTAAATGGAACCGCCATAATACGGAAAAGGAAGGAAATCCCGATTGCGCATAATCCCCACTTAGATTCAAACCGCCCATGAAGCCGGAATATGCAGAGGTTGTTTAATGCTCTAACTAGCCAAGGTCTCAGAAGCCGGAATATTTCCTTGAGAGCGGCAAAAGCTTCAGCGTAGACGAAGGACGTCGTTGGTGAAGATCAACGACCGGTGAAATTCCATTTGCGCAAATGGCTTCAGTTAAAGAAGAACACACTTTGCGACAAGCTGCTTTGCCGTGCGAAGAAGGTATTTGTTTTGTTTAGATTAATCTGTTTGCATGGAGGATTTTGTATGTTAGATGCACAAAGAGGAATGTGTGGATGCATTTGTGATGGACGTCATATTGATTATGTTTTTGTTGTTGTTGAATTTAGTAATGTGTAATATATTATTACTAATATGGAGTTGAACTTGAGTGAAAATTGAATTTTGGTTATGAATGTTTGTTTTTGTGTTCGTTCTTGGTGAGTGTTCCTGATTAGATTAAGTATTGTGCAAAATAGATAACATAAAGGTGCAATATATTGGACTAATCTTAGTATGAATGTTGTTTTTTGAGTTCTTGTGTTGGTGAGTGATCCTGATTATACTAAATTTTGGTGCAAAATAGATTAGGTAAAAGTGTAATACATTAGACTAATCTTAGTATGAATGTTGGTTTTTGTGTTCGTGTTTGGTGAGTGAGCCTGATTAAAATAATTTTTGGTGCAAAATAGATTAGGTAATGGTGCAATTTAATTGATAGGGTATGCAGACTAAGATTGGTAGGGTACAGTTGAGGTAATTTAGAAATAAGCAAGAGTGCAAGCAAATATATTATATTTTTATTGCTTGGAGCAAAATAGATTAGCTACAGGTGAAAGTGACTTGTGTTTGAGGAAGTTGTGTATGCTGGTAAAAATGTAGACAAAAAATGGTTGGGTGCGGATGACATAACTTAGAAATCACTTAGATTCAATTTTTTGGTGCAAAAGACAGGACATAAAGCTGCAATTGAACTGTGAAATAAATGCAGACTGTTTTTTTCAAATGCTTATTCATTTTTTGGGTGATGGAATTAATATCCAGATGAAGATTGGTTGTTATTCAAAGAGAGGTTAAGTGCATTTGAAAATGTTTTTAAGTGCATATTTTGTTGGTAAACATTCATGTGATTTCTGATATCTTAGTGAAGTAGTTAAGATGCAGATGATTGTAGTTGAATATGTATTTTCTTTGGAATTAACTAGTGGGTGCATTTGAATATGTTCTTAATTGCATTATGTGTGGCATAGCATTAATGTGATTGTTGTTTATTCAACAAGGGGTTAAGATGCACATGAATGTAGTTTGGTATGCATATGAATTCAAGTGTACTAACTAATCTAACTAACGAAGTAGGAACTGGACAAAACCACCAAACAGTTCTACAAAAGAGAAAGAAAGCAGCACCATGTGGGAGTAATATGAAAAAAGAAAAAGAAGGTGATTAATAAGGAAGGGGAAACAAGTACAAATGCATCCTGATGGTTAGTAAATTTATACTTTCATTGTTTCAATAGTTTGAACTATTGAAATTGAGATGTGATTGAAATTTTAGGAGACAAGATTACTGGGCTCATGCAGTTCCATTCTAAGCTTGAGAAACAAAAGCAATTGAGCATGCAGCGGCAGGAAATTAGGAGAAAATCAAGACATGAATTCCAAGGTTAAAAATA